AGATAGGGAGTCGATCCTAATTTTTCTTTCCTTACACTCTCTTAACACATGCTCGGTTGCAGATCTCATGGCACCAGATGTGAGCTTGTAATCTTTTAAACTGAATGCAATCGGTATGCTACAGGGCGTTTCTTGTTTTGAATTGCGGTCCTTGTTACTTAAAACCCAAACCATGACTTCTGTAGCTTTCTGTCTGAGTAAATTATATATTTCATTTATTAGACACATTGATCTGTCAAGACCATTTCGAATGTCAATCGCAGAAACGGAAGGAGGTATGCAGACGTTGGCTACTGAAGAAAACAGAAAGGGGATTTTTGTCGACTTGATGCAACAATCTTCTCCATCACTCCATGTTTTTGATTCAAACTCACCAAGAAATTGAACATTGGACTTTGTGAATGCTGAAATTTTCTCTTTGAGTGATGGAACATTTTCTGAGAGCTTCCTGCATTTTTGTAGAACTTCCGTGTCGTAATGTTTACGAGTTTCATCCATGAAAAAAGTCCATAATCCTGGATCAAATGTAACATTGAAAGCTGTCGTACTAGTCTCGGTGTATGAGATGAACAACAAATGTTCCGTTTTTAACACGTGCATCTCTGCTAGACACTGTGCAACATAGTATTCTGGAAGAAAGTAATGAGGTCGAGCCTCCCCTTGGTTTGGAAAAGGACACTTTATCTCAATAGCAGCAATACATTTTCCAAGAGATAAGGGCTCACCAGTAACAGCACAATGTTCGACATCTCGGATGCTACCATCAGGCGACACTTCAAGAAGTGTCCTGTTATGTATATCACTTTTCACAAGGTAACATCCCTCTTCAACAAAGCTTGCAGATGGAAAATACACCGGTAATAATGTGCCAATCAAAGTAGCTATAGCATGTTTTTCGTTTTCTGTTCCATGTGTCAACCTTTTCTCTAAATCAGGGGAAATTGGGCGTGATTTTCCTTCTATATATTCCTCAAAATGTTGCTTTTGTTCTTTCAGACCTCGAAGTCCTAATGCATTGTGTAATGAACTACCTGTTACACAAGCAGATTTCCTTAATGTATGCCACAGAGATGATCTCTGCTGTATGAACCTAGTTTCTTTGGGATCAGAATCATCAGTCCACTCTGTAAGTCGAATTATATTTCGCATTTTATCGACGTCTACCACTTTTCCTTCATGAAAGATACAAAGGGGATTTTGAATACTACTTATTTCCCGACAAAGAATAAATACTTCACGATGGGTGTTTTTGATTTGCTGCTTCAGCTGAAACAAAGACGCTTGTAAACCACTTATGGCATAAACATACTTAGAGTTCCTCCAATCAGTTCCACCAAGGGATAAAAATTTTTGCAATCCATACTCTTGTCTATATCCTAGCTCCTTGCATTCCCTCATCCTATTGCATAGTATTACAATAACATCTTTTAATTTGATACTAAGTTCAACTTTCTTTTCAATGACTTCATCATCGCTGCACAATTCTTTCACTGCTTTTACATCATCTAAGTTCTTCAGTAAACGTCCTTGTTTCGAACGAAGAGTTTCTCCGTTCTCATATCCAAACATATCTACGTCTCCTCCTTGTTTGTCTAGCCCTGACGTCACCTTCTTTGCATCCGCACACAACATATACGACTCATTGGATTCTACACAGACACTATCAAGAATGTGTGATAAGCACCCTGTATTCATACGCTTTGGGATACAAGTATCAAAGGAAGAACTTTTGAAGTTATTCAAAATCGTTTCATTGGGTACGGCAAAATTTATCCTAGGAAATTTCTCCTCTTCGATCATTCCCTCTTCATTCCCTAAAGACCTGGGTCCGCCCATGAAATATAGAAATTTGTTATGGAATAAGTTCCTACCAGCCTTCCAGAAAGATTTTGTGTTTGACCTGTATCTCATTGTACTAGACTCTTTACAACCCATGAATCGTACAGTGTCTAGAAACAGCAAAAAAGCAATATTTTCTAGAGGGAACTTATCACGTGAAACAAGATCTAAAAAAGTTTCAAAGTCTTTTTTACAGTCAACTTTATCTAACTTTTGTAATACACTGGCCAGCAAATCGTTTTGATAGTTGTCTTTTTGAAGAAATATATCATCAACGGAGGGAGGTGACTGAGAGTGTAGCTTATGCACAGATGGTGATGCAGTTCTCGTAAGTATTCTCTCATACTTCGGAGAATAATTCTTGAAAGCATGGTCATAAGCTTCACTCAATATACAATCATCTAATAATGCACACTGGGGACTTTTTGCAGTGTTTCTGTTTGGGGTATCAACATGTCGATTCTTTGATTTAAATGGGGTAGAAAATTTTCTTCTTTTCGGAGTTGGGTAAGGGGATGAAATTACTTTATTCTTGCTATACTTTTTACTTTTAGCTGTTCTATTGTCAAGCTTTGCTTTTTTCTTAACCATTTGGTAATCTGTGATAAAAAGTAATTAATGAGTAAATTTATTACCAATTTTGAAAAGTATCCTAGTAAAGAAATAAAACATGTTGGTCTACTAATACGAATGTTAAAGAATAGTTGCATCGCACGTTACTGATGATGGGAATCGTTGCATCATACGTTACTTCTAAAAACCCATGTTAAAAGCGATTAAATAAATATTTTCATCACAATTCTAGAGTGAAATGGAAGAACAAGGAATTTTAATTATGGTAAACTTGTAGCTGATCTTGTAACTTGATTAGGAAAAAAGTTCTTTGAATAAATCGAACTTTTTAGCCTCATTATTATGAAAGTGCAGAGTGTTTTAGAAAACGGCGCATCTCTGGACATTGTCCTTTATGTCAACAGATGCCTGTGTCATTCCTATAATGCAACGGCTAAAACAATTAGGGCTATTTTGCGGTTAAAGCATCCAAATACGACATTAACTTAACTTGGTCGGAATCTCCATGTTAAAACGCCATAAGGAATCGTTTCATCATACGTTACGGAATAATTGCATCGTAGTAACGCTATGGCACGGTGTTATCCTTCCTACACTGATATTTGCTCAAATTCATTCTGTAAGGTGGTGAAGTCTTCAAAAATCAGTTGAAATTCTCTACAGGACTTACGTACCCTGCCTTTCATATAATTCTAGAGTATGAAGAAACTACCGACTTTGCTGCAAGGAGGATTCATGCAGAAGATTCCCAGTACAATTTCTTTGCAATTACTAGTACTCATAAGGTTGAATCGTATTTTCCAAACCAATGACTCGGACCTGAGTAAACTCGCACCAATAGTGGAAAGTACCTAATTATATCAAGGCGTTCCAGTCAAATTCTTTTCTCAACTGAATACATTCTCAAATCTATCGTGCCACAATACAAGGGGTGATTAAAAAGTTCGCGAACTAATTGAATAACTTCCATAACAGAAACAATATTTGGTTTCAATGCTGACTCTATTTTAAATTGGTCCGATTTTAATGCACGTCTGCCACCGTTTTGCTCATGCGCGTATCACGTGATATAAGCGGTCATGTGACCTGCTCCGAAGCCATCTGTCACAAAAGCAGAGATTTTTCTGAGTTTTGTATTTCTTTCCATGCAAGTTAATTTTTATAACAAGAACATTTCATTTGTCAGCAATGGTCAAATCTTGGCAACATGATGGGTGGATAAGAATATCCTTTCCCACAATGAGTATGGCGACCATCAAAACCCAAATTCTCTGTCTTGGGAGAGTCGTTTATTCTGGATAGAGAATGGTGCCTCCACATATGAGCTTCAATAATTCATGAATTATTAGACAAAATCAAATGGGATTTTGGTTACTGTAAATCACTTTTTATTCGCGAGAACTTTATTTTCGCGTAATTACGCGAGACGGTATGCTCGCGAAAATTCCATTCTCGCGTATTATAGAATTCCTTAAGATTACATAGAGCAATGACTACAATTCGTGAAAATTTTGTCTCGCTAATAAAGAGTCAATGGCTATCTCGAGAAATTAAGGTGTTGCGTAAATTTAGTAATCTACAGTATATCTTTTTGAAAGATGATTTTAAAAGTTAGATGGAATACTGAAAAAAATTAGAAGAAAAATAAATTTGATTCACCTCAAAAGTTTACCCTGCGTTTCTTTTTCCTTTCAGTTATATATTATTGTTAAAATATTCAATTATTTTCAAACTGAAAAATGGAGGTCTTTCTTAACAAATTGCTTAATTAAAAACACATCTCTTTTCAAACTTGCTTTCACTGGGGAACAGAACAAATATCATATTTAACAATCTCTCTTCCTTCACTTAAACGATTAATCAAATCATTGATTGAAGTTCTAGGAAGTCTTTTGTCTTAATTGACTCTGTACAAATTATTATATGATACAGCAAAGGAATTTCCAAGATATACCATAAATTTAACAGTCGTTCGTTGAACGAGTCCGAGTGCGACAACCATTTTGAGTGCATTCGAAACCGTTGTTCTTGTCGTTCTTGAGTACTCATAGTACATCCACGAACGCCGAGAATATGTGCGTACGAACAGGTTCATACACAGATACTCGAACGCCAAGAACACATGGAAAAATGGCGCATCAGACTGAATTGCTTTTATACTACTTATTGACGATGATTATGCTAATGAACAATTATTTCATCATATTTTCGACGCTGTTGTAATGTTTTCTCCGCTGTACAGAAGACTGAATGCCCGAAAGTTGGAAACTTCGCAGAAAACGTAGTCCCTTCCTTCTTGAGCAACGATTTTCGCCGACATTTCAGGATAAATAGAGCTGTGTTTAACATCTTGAAAAACCGATTCTGTGAAAATTTACAAAGAAAGAAAGGAGGTTTGTTTCAAATTTCACCTGAAAAGCAATTACTTATTTGCCTGTGGCATCTTAGCAATTTGGAAAGCATCAGAGAAACGTCAAATTTATTTGATGTGTCTTCAAGCACAGCTCACGATTGCATTCATTCTGTTGCCGAATTGATTGCAACTAATGCTTCGAAATTCATACGGTGGCCAACACAAGAGCGTTTAAATGACATCTCTCAAGTTTCAGAACAGAAGCGGATTGCCTGGTGTTGTTGGCATTATTGATGGAACGCACATCCGACTTGTTAATCCACCCGGGGGCGAGAGAGACTACATAAACCGTAAAGGATACCCTTCTGTGCAGCTCCAGTTAGTCGTAGATGATTACATGTTAATAACTGACGCCTATGTAGGCTGGCCTGGTTCAACCCATGATGCCAGAGTGCTAAAAAATCCACCTTTATATCATGAAGCAGAAAATGATAACAAATTTTCTCAGAATACCTTTATACTTGGTGACGGTGCTTATCCTGTCAGAGGTTGGCTGCAAACACCCATAAGAGATAATGGTGATTTATCTCCTCAACAAAAACGATTTAATAAATCTTTATCTTCAGTGCGACAAACAGTTGGAAGAGCTATAGGACATTTAAAAGGTCGATTTCGGCGTCTTCGTGAAATATACTGCACAGATGTGGAAAAAATATGCAACATCATCATGACTGCCAGTGTCTTGCACAACCTATGCATTCTTGCTGATGACGATATTCTATTATTCATTGAGTATGAGGAGGACATTAACAATTTCCAGAACATATTTCAAAATGCAGAAAATGGACTAGCTACCTGACAAAGACTTGTGAACATGTTCTAATCAAATAAAGATTAGATAATGACAACCACTTTAATTTGTAATTACATGTATATGTGAAATGAATACTTTATTTGAAAAAAAAAACAATAAACAGTTTACAACAATATTGATCATTTCTTGATCTCTCCATATCACAACAAAAAATCTTCATGGATCTGAATACATCACATTCATATTCCATTTGGTCTGTTGTGTCTAATAAACGTACAGTAAAAATATCTTCGTCATCCTCACTATCTTTTTTTGTACTGAAATTTAAAATAATTCATATCTTATTAATCAAAATAAGGGGATGCACTATATTTAATGCATACGGCAGTAATTTTAGGTGACAATGCCTCAACAGTTGGGGGGGGGGGGTCTTTAAACATTGGTGCTTTTGAGTACTTTTATGCCAAAGATCATTTTCCTTCTTTGGGTTACATGTAACTGTAGGCCTGTACGTACCCCCTTGTGTGTGGCGAGACATTGATAAGCAGTTGTTTCGTGTCTGCACCATTTACTTTTAGAATGAATTATAAAGGATGTCAATTTCGTTCAGCAAGATAATTGATTGGTCATATTTCAGCACAATTTGAAGTAATCATACATTTTCCTCGGAAATGTGATTTTTAAAAAATTAATAAACGTGTCATTTTAGTCCAAGGCAGATTAGTGTGCAAATAAAGAAATTAAGTATCAGCTTTCAATAAATATAATTAAAAATAACTTTTTTGACTAAAAATGCCAAATATTGCAGGGTTTGAAATTAACACTCGCCCACTCGCCATTTGCGACTAAAAGTCGGTGTGCGCGATTTTAAAATGCAATCTTAGTGGCCCACATGGCGATTAAACAATTTCCAGTTTTGTCCCGAATGTTTTCTATTTTCATTACGATAAGTCGTATTTTTGATCATGAAAACGCTTGTCGTTACCAAAATAAAATCGCGTCTTTATGATCATGACTTTTTAGATCGTTATCAGTAAAGCGTTTAGTTTTTGAAACCGAGAAACATTACTCTGCAAGCGTCTAACTCATTTTGACAATTGTAAACATGTGGCGGTTTATAGATGGCGTCAGTCAACCGAAGAAAACAAAGTTAGAAAGAAAAGACTATCATGACAATTATGACAAAACTAAAAGGCAACGAAAGTTTTTAACTGTATGGACGATAAATAGAGAATGGTTAGTTGACTCGGAAAAGGGTATGATATGCACCTACTGCAAACAAATACCAACATGTACTACTGGATCCCGTCTGTTCGTTACAGATTGTACCTCCTACAAATTAGATAGTGTTACTAAACATGAAAATTCTTTACAACATAAATATGCTGTTCAAGTCAATGAGGGTAAGAGCAAGCCTGTAGACGAGTCTGAAGCTGGGAAGATTATCTCTACACTAAACAAAGAGAACTTTGAAAAGTTGGAAAAAATGTTCCGTAATTGTCATGCACTAATAAAAAACAACAAACCTTTGAGTGATTTTACATGGATGTGTGACTTAGATGGTATGAAAGGATTTGATTTAGGCAGAACATATAGAAACATTAACTCGGCCAAAGTTTTTATTCAGTCTATTGCTGATGTTGAATTTCAGAAAATAGCTAATCAGATCAAAGACACTAAATTTTTATCTGTAATTGGAGATGGGTCAACTGATTCAGCTGTGAAGGAGCAGGAGATGTGGTTCATTAGAGGATGCAGAGCAGGTATTGTGACAGTAGATTTCATTGGTGTTCATTCGGCAAATAAAGCAACTGCAGAAAATATTGTTCACGGTTTACAAGAGACAGTTGTCAGTAATCTGAAGATGGACTGGAGTCAGATATCAAATAAGCTAGTTGGTTTGAGTTGTGACGGAGCCAGTGTGATGACAGGATGCAAATCTGGTGTTAGAGCTATCCTTGAAAAAGACTGTCCATCAATTGTTACTATCCACTGTATGGCTCATCGACTAGAGTTAAGCTTGAAGGATGTAACTAAAAAAGTAAAGACATACGAGAGAGTGAACATTTTATTGGCAGGGTTGTATTATTTTTATCACAACAGCGCTCTGAATAGAGCAGTTCTGCAGAAAACATATGAAGCTACAAAGTCTCAGGATGAAAAGCTGTTAATTCCAACTAGAGTCGGAGGAACAAGATGGATTGGTCATCAAGTCACAGCCATCCTCCATGTGATTACGTCTTACAAATTTATTATAACCCATATGGAACAGGTAAGTTTTTAACTCTCTAAATGTGTTGAATGTATTTTTTTGAATTTAATTTTTGAATGAATTTTTTTATTTTCATATAAGTCAAAATTGATTTATTTTCCTATTTATCTTTTCTATTTGAAGTTATTGGAGACAAGAGAAAGGGTTTCATCTGATGCTAAAGCAAAGTCAAAAGGTTTCTTGAAACTCTTGAAGTCAAAAGTTATTGTTGGATTTTTGCTCTTTCTGCTGGATGTCCTTGCACCTTTGCGTCATCTATCACTGAACCTCCAGGACAGGACTGCATTAATATCATGTCAGCATGATTCCCTGGAAAGTGCACTTGAAGCTGTTAGGAAGAGCAAAACATGGTTTGTTTTCTTTTTTAGTTTTCCAGTGTTTACAGACATTTAATATTTCATAATATCAAAGTCAAATGTTTGATGCTAATGCATTTTAGTGATGGACCTAATCTCAGAAAGCTAGATGACCAGTATGAAGGCACTAAGTTGTGTAACACTGGCTTTCAACACTTCAATCAAATAAAAACTACTTTCATTGAAAGCATAGAGTCTGCTCTACAGAAAAGATTTTCAGATTTTGCCCCATCTTCAACAATGCCTGTTGTTAATGCAACACGCATAGCTGATTTAAAAGCATGGCCACAGGAATGGGAAGATCTCAGAGGTTTATAGTCTGTTCCTTTGTGAACTTTCAAGTTTGAATTGATGGTTATTTCTAGTTCCAGATTCAAGTTTATTACCTTTAATTTCCTGGTTTAATTCCAATTGATTTTTATTTCAGGTTCAGTTCTAATTTTGAATCATTTTGTGTGTTTTTTTCTGTTACTTCAGTTAAGAAATTGTGTTCTAGAAAATCTTTGAAAGTATATTCAGAGCTTGTAAAAATTGTAAAAAATAAAATTATTTACTTAGGCTGAAATATAATAACTAAAATAATTTAAAATAATTGCAGACTTTGGGGATAAGGAGTTGCAAATTCTACTTGAGCACTTTGATCCTGTTCTCACAGAGGCTGGGGTGAATGTTCCTGAAGCTGAAATTGAATGGACAATGATTAAAAAGGAAATACACAAGAGGTAAATATATCAACAACAATAAAGTGTTGAGTGCAGCTAATTACTTACCAATAAAATCTTTGAGAAACTTGTTAATTTTTTTTAATTGTATTTTTAGCGATCTTCTTGGAAGCGACTGGGTCCTTATACAGAGAAAATATGAGAACAAGTTTACCAATATCCTTTCAGTTATTGATCTCATTTTCACTCTTTCACCAAGTTCTGCAGAAGCAGAAAGAGGGTTTTCCCAATTGAAATGCCTCAAAACAAATTTAGGATCTAGACTCAACCAAAACACACTTAATCATGCTCTCTCTATTAAGCTCCACTCTAAAAACATCATGGACTATGACCCAAAGCCAGCAATACATTCTTGGAACAGCAGTTCAATGAGGCAAAGGCGCCCTCAATTTGAAAGGAAGAAGAACACAGAGACTGAAAACTGTGATGGTGTCACAGCTGTAAATCATGTTGAGGAGGATAATGCCATGCACATAGTAGAAGAAGAAGAAAACCATGAAGCAGATGAAGAAGAAAACATTGATGCAAGTGAAGAAGAGGAATCTGAAGTCAGAGATGCAGATAAAGAGAATGATTCAGAAGATGATCTAAGTGATGACATTTCTGAAAATGAAGTTTTTGAAAATTTGAGGGAAATTGAAATGGAATATGAATATATGAATTAAATTTGAATGATTAAAACCTTCTAAAGACAAAAATAAACTGTGTTTTGTACTTTTATTTTTTTGAAAAAGTGTGGGCGACCAAATTTTGATGTGGGCCCCTGGAATGGCAAAGTCCAGTAGCCCACATGGCTAGCAAAAGTTAAAGTTAGTTTAAAACCCTGTATTGCCCTCAACAATTCTTTTTTTCACTCACCGGCTACCTTTTCCCGCCTTCTTGTTCTTGTTTTACACTACCTAGCGTGGTGGTGTATATTCTTGAATCGCGAACCCGTTCCCGTGTTGTGTTCTTCGCGTTCGGGAACTGAGAATTTAGTTACGAACCCGTTCTCGGATGAAGAACTAAGGTTTCGAATGCACTCTTTGTGTCACAAGTGATTTACATATTGGCGTCATTTTCACCCTGTGACGTCACAAACAAGGAGAAAAACTTTAGCCTGCATATGCTATTTATAGAACTTATGTAAGGCTATGCGTGTACCAAATTTTATTCCAATATAAACTAGTGCTAATTGTAACGGGAACCGTTACAGATGTTCCCCAAACGCTCCCCAACTCCCTTTTAGTGCTATATTCCCTGTAATATACTATATGTAAAAGCATTCAGTCCAAAAGTATTAAAAATCACTCATTCAAGTGTATTTCTAATTTCATTCGTGCATGTGCGTGCACGTGCATGATGACCATACTTTCTTGTAGGAGTCCCTTATATTTATCTATGTTCTGAATCCCATCCTATTTGGTTGAAAAACAAGGGAGTTGTAGCCATTTCAAGTTTCAGCCAATCAGATTGCAGCACACGTGCATGCGCGTGATTTCCTGATTTTTTTTCTATATCGCATTGTAGGATATCCTAATGAATGATTATGTTTTAAATTTCAAAGCATTTCGTCAAAAAAACAAAGGAGATATAGTCATTTAAAGTTTCAGCCAATCAGATCGCAGCACACGTGCATGCACGTAATTTCTTGAAATTTTTTGTATATCATATTGCAGGACATCCTAATGTATGACTATGTTTTAAATTTCAAAGCATTTCGTCAAAAAACAAAGGCGATATAGTCATTTAAAGTGTCAGCCAATCAGATTGCAGCACACGTGCATGCGCGTGATTTCATGAATTTTTTTCTATATCATATTGTAGGATATCCTAATTCATGACTATGTTTTAAATTTCAAAGCATTTCGTCAAAAAACAGAGAAGATACTGGGATTTTTGTTTTAGCCAATCAGAACGAAGCGCACATGCATGCGCGTGAGTTCGTGCTAATTTGACAGTGTCACATTATGTACACTATTAATATATCTTTATATAATGAGTTTCAAATCATTTCATTAAAAAATGTAAAAGTTATAGCTATATTAAGTATATAAGTCATTTCACGTGTTGCACGCGCACGCACGTGCATGCGTATGCGCGCAAAATGACCTTCGTTCCGCACACCTACACTACACACTCATTAACCCTAAAAAGGTTTTAGGTCAGTTGGGTGAACAGTTTCTGAGAACACTTCCGGACAAAAAAGTACCGGAGAACAAATAAGAAAAAAAAGAATAATAACTAGTGCTAATTGTAACGGGGACCGTTACAGATGTTCCCCAAACGCTCCCCAACTCCCTTTTATAATCATATTCCATGTAGGCGTAATTAAATAAGACAAACTCTATGCATTTGAGACTTTAACAACGTTTACCAAGAAGTGTACCATGTTCATTCAAATTTTATTATTGCACACTTGCGCATGTGAATGCATGTGCGTAATGACCATATCATATTGTCTACACAATCTATATATTTTAATATGCTAAATATAATCCAAAAGTATATAAAAAAACGGTCATTCAAGTGTATTTTTGATTTTACCCATTTCATGTGCACGCACGTGCATACATGAGCATGGTGACCATACATTCTTGTAGAAGTCCATTACATCTATCTATGTTCTAAATGCCACCCCGTTTGGTTGAAAACCAAGGGAGTTATACCTGTTTAAAGTTTCAGCCAATCAGATTGCAGCGCATGTACACGCACATGTATGCATGTGCATAGTGACCATACCTTCTTGTAGAAGTCCAGTATAAATATCTATGTTCCAAATCCCATCCTGTTTGGTTGAAAACCAAGGGAGTTATGGCTGTTTAAAGTTTCAGCCAATCAGATTGCAGCGCACGTACACGCACGTGTATGCCTGTGCATGGTGACCATACCTTCTTGTAGAAGTCGATTATATATATCTATGTTCCAAATCTTATCCTGTTTGGTTGAAAACCAAGGGAGTTATAGCAATTTAAAGTTTCAGCCAATCAGATTGCAGCGCACGTGCATGCACGTGTTTTCATGATAATTGCTATATACCATGTTGTAGGATATTCTTATGCATGGCTATGTTCAAAGTTTCAAAGGATTTCGTCAAAAAACAAGAAAGATATAGAGACTTTAGTTTCAGCCAATCAGAGCGAAGCGCACGTGCATGCGCGTGAGATCTTGCTATTTTGGAAGAAGAAGAAGAAGAAGAAGAAGAAAAATAATAATAACTAGTGCTAATTGTAACGGGGACCGTTACAGATGTTCCCCAAACGCTCCCCATCTCCCTTTTGGTGCCATATTCCCTGTTAGCTTCATTAAATAAGACAAACTTTATGCATTTGAGACTTAAACAACGTTTACCCAGAAGGGTACCAAGTTCATTCAAATTTTAGCATTGTACGCGTGTGCATGTGAATGCATGTGCGTAATGACCATATCATCTTGTCTACACAATCTATATACTTGAATATACTAAATATTAAAGTATTTAATCCAAAAGTATTTAAAAAATACGCTCATTCAAGTGTATTTTTGGTTTTACCCATTTCACGTGCACGCATGTGCATACATGAGCATGGTGACATACCTTCTTGTAGAAGTCCAATACATCTATCTATGTTCCAAATCCCACCCCGTTTGTTTGAAAACCAAGGGAGTTCTAGCTGATTAAAGTTTCAGCCAATCAGATTGTAGCGTACGTTCTCGCACGTGTATGGATGTGCATGGGGATCATACCTTCTTGTAGAAGTCCATTATATCTATCTATGTTTCAAATCTCATCCTGTTTGGTTGAAAATTAAGGGAGTTATAGCTATTTAAAGTTTCAGCCAATCAGATTGCAGCGCACGTACACTCACGTGTATGGATGTGCATGGTGACATACCTTCTTGTAGAAGTCTATTATATCTATCTATGTTCCAAATCCCATCCTGTTTGGTTGAAAATCAAGGTAGTTACAGCTATTTAAAGTTTCAGCCAATCAGATTGCAGCACACGTGCATGCACGTGTTTTCTTGATAATTGTTATATATCATGTTGTAGGATATCCTAATGCATGGCTATGTTCAAAATTTCAAAGGATTTCATCAAAAAAACAAGAAAGATATTGAGACTTTAGTTTCAGCCAATCAGAGCGAAGTGCACGTGCATGCGCGTGAGATCTTGCTATTTTGACCATGTCATATTGTCTATGCTACTACTATATCCTTATACTATGAGTTTCAAAGCATTTCATCAAAACCGTAAAGATTAACGTCTATATCAATTAAATCGGTCATTTCACGTGTTGCTCGTGCGCGCTCTTGCAAGCGTGTGCACACAAAATGGCATGTTGACAATGTCATCTTATCTACATTTATAATATGTCTACATATTCTAAATATCAAAGCATTACATCGAAAAATGTAAAAGTTACGGCAGTTTCAAGTATATTGGTCATTTCACGTGTAGCACGTGCGAGCTCTTGCAAGCACGTGCGCGCAAAATGACCTTCGTTCCGCAAATCTACATAACATGCCTACTTACCCTAAAAAGGTTCCCCCTTAATCGGATGTGTACTTTACAAGATCATTCGCGGACAAAATTTTCCCGAGAAGAAAAATAATAATAATAATAATAATAATAATAAGAAACAGAGTAAAAACAATATGTTCCCCAACTTCGTTTGGGGAACATAACTAGGGCTAATTGTAACGGGGACCGTTACAGATGTTCCCCAAACGCTCCCCAACTCCATTTGGGTGCCGTATTCCCTGTAAGCGCTATTAAGACACACTTTATGCAATTTAGACTTAAACAACGTTTTGCCAGAAGAATACAAAATGTATTTAAATTTTAGCATTGCACGCGTGCTCATCTGAATGCATGTGCGTAATGACCACATCATCTTGTCTGCACTATATATATATATTTTAATATACTTAATAACAAATCAATTAATCCAGAAGTATTAGGAAATACACTCATTTAAGTGTATTTTAATATTACTCATTTCACATGCACGCACGTGCATGAGGACTATACCTTCTTGTAGGAGTCTATTATGTCTGTCTATGTTGTAAATCCAATCCTGTTTGGTTGAAAAGCAAGGGAGTTATAGCCATTTACAGTTTTAGCCAATAAGATTGCAGCACACGTGCATGCGCGTGTTTTCACGACAATTGTTATATATCATATTGTACATGTAGTACATCCTAAAGTATGTATATATTTTAGATTTCATAGCATTTCGTCAAAAAACAAAAAAGATATTGAGATTTTTATTTCAGCCAATCAGAACGAAGCGCACGTGCACGTACGTGCATGATTACCATACCTTCTTGTAGGAGTCTATTATATCTGTCTATGTTCTAAATCCCATCCTGTTTGGTTGAAAAATAAGAGAGTTATAGCCATTTCAAGTATAAGCCAATCAGATTGCAGCGCACGTGCATGCGCGTGTTTTCATGACAATTTTTATACATAACATTGTAGAACATCCTAAAGTATGCCTATATTTTAAATTTCATAGCATTTCGTCAAAAAACAGAAAAGATATTGAGATTTTTGTTTCAGCCAATCAGAGCGAAGCGCTCGTGCATGCGCGTGAGTTCGTGCTAATTTGACAGTGTCACATTGTCTACACTATTAATATATCCTTATTAAATGAGTTTTAAAATATTTCATCAGAAAATGTTAAAGTTATGGCTATATAAAG